ACACACACACACACACACACACACACACACTTACCGAGAACGCAAAAGTAGTCGTCAAGCCTAAAACATTGGTCGTGTGAGCATTACATTCTTCTGAGATTCTGTGCGTGTGTTATGTAACTTAAATAAAGTAATTAAGTTTAAATAAAATTTTCCTTTCATCTAGATTTACAGAAAATATGCATATAAATCAAATGACTTAAAATAAGTGAAAAATTCATCTTTGATGGAACTACCTCAATGCATCAAGGAAAAAAATCACACTTTTCTTGTTTGTGTATGTGTGTGTGTGTGTGTGTGTGTGTGTGTGTGTGTGCGTGAGAGAGAGAGAGAGAGAGAGAGAGAGAGAGAGAGAGAGAGAGAGAGAGAGAGAGAGAGAGAGAGAGAGAGAGAGAGAGAGAGAGTACTTGTATTAGTGGATGTATGCAGCACGTACATATTTGTGTTTTTGACTGTATATTCATGTATGTATGTTCCTTGATGTATATATACTTGCATGTATATCTAAAATATATTCATTGTAAAGTATGTGTCTATGTACGTGCTTTCTTGTTGAATTTGGAAAAGTACGATTTTCAGTTGAGCTGTTTTGCTATAAAGCTATGCGCATTCTCAGTATTTAAGGCGATGTTTATAGGGGGTATCTCTGTTAGGAGGTCTAGGGGGGGGGGTACCATTCCACCATTCCTCGTCTTGTCTGCCAGATCATCACCTCATGAATCTGTCATGATAGACCCTGGGCGAATACTGGAACAAAATACGGGTTTGAACTTCACTTGAACTTACATCGATTATTCTAGAGCAGGGCTGACAAACTTCTTTATCCCAAGGGGGCCACTTTTCACCTCGGTATACAGCAGGACTGCGCAACTGGCGGCCCGCGGTCCCAATCCGGACTTTCTGAGTGTTGAAGCAGGACCCCAGGCTCCAGGTGGAGAAAAGTATAATTAAATAAAATGAAGGTCCTGGTGATGGTTTCTTGAAAGTGAATTTGCTCGAAATGAAATGAATAAGAAATCATATGGGAACACTGTAGAGTATTTAGATTGGTTTTATTTCCATGACTGTATGTAAAGTATTTATCCGGACCTCTGCATATATTGAAAGTTTGCTCATAATAGTAGCCCTGGTATACTGTATGTCAGGTAACCATGAGCAGATAAAAACACATCTTATTAAGGTAGTATGAAGGCCATGTGGTTGACGGAAAAACGTAGGGGCCTATTTCATTCATTACAAAAACACAATAAAAAAATATAAGAGTGCCAGCGATGAAAGAGGGGATGGCTTGATTGCCCAAGCAAAATGCCAACTGGAAGACTGAAATAACAAAGATAAGGCGGGCCCTGTTCTAGAGGGACCAGGCTGCTGTCAACTTGCTTCAGTTCGCAATACACCGTGATATTCGAAATATATAGACATATATCAAGCATGCTCCTTTATCTTTATGTTACTTTTGCGAAGAAATCAGGGCAGTGTTCATCGTAACCGGATACCAAATAGATATGATGAGAACTTGTATCAATTAACGGTCTTTGCCCTCGGTCCAGTGTCACGTGATCATCTACTTCACTTCTAATTGGCTGTGTAAATATTCTTTTTATATAATGACAATGATGCAATCTTTTATGCCAATAACAATAGTAGGAATGAGGATAATGATGACAATAATGCTATTCCCTTCCTGCGAGGAATTCAGAGAGAGGAGTCTTCACGCGCCTAACACGGAGACAAAATTCCTTTCATCGGAGCTCCACCCACTCACGAAGAGAGAGTTGAGAGTGAGAGGATTCTGTACCCAGCCGGGATACCCACTGGCAGGAACATTCAGGATCAAGTACCCCCCCCCCCCCCCCCCCCCCCCCCCCCCCCCCCCCCCCCCCCCCCCCCCCCCCCCCCCCCCCCCCCCCCCCCCCCCCCCCCCCCCCCCCCCCCCCCCCCCCCCCCCCCCCCCCCCCCCCCCCCCCCCCCCCCCCCCCCCCCCCCCCCCCCCCCCCCCCCCCCCCCCCCCCCCCCCCCCCCCCCCCCCCCCCCCCCCCCCCCCCCCCCCCCCCCCCCCCCCCCCCCCCCCCCCCCCCCCCCCCCCCCCCCCCCCCCCCCCCCCCCCCCCCCCCCCCCCCCCCCCCCCCCCCCCCCCCCCCCCCCCCCCCCCCCCCCCCCCCCCCCCCCCCCCCCCCCCCCCCCCCCCCCCCCCCCCCCCCCCCCCCCCCCCCCCCCCCCCCCCCCCCCCCCCCCCCCCCCCCCCCCCCCCCCCCCCCCCCCCCCCCCCCCCCCCCCCCCCCCCCCCCCCCCCCCCCCCCCCCCCCCCCCCCCCCCCCCCCCCCCCCCCCCCCCCCCCCCCCCCCCCCCCCCCCCCCCCCCCCCCCCCTCGCGGAGAAATGCTGTTCTTATGAAAGCGGGCAAATGTTTGAATATTGGTGGCGCACACACACACACACTTACCGAGAACGCAAAAGTAGTCGTCAAGCCTAAAACATTGGTCGTGTGAGCATTACATTCTTCTGAGATTCTGTGCGTGTGTTATGTAACTTAAATAAAGTAATTAAGTTTAAATAAAATTTTCCTTTCATCGGAGCTCCACCCACTCACGAAGGAGAGAGTTGAGAGTGAGAGGATTCTGTACCCAGCCGGGATACCCACTGGCAGGAACATTCAGGATCAAGTACCCCCCCCCCCCTACTCTCCCCACCTCCCCGGTATACAGCAGGGCTGCGCAACTGGCGGCCCGCGGTCCCAATCCGGACTTTCTGAGTGTTGAAGCAGGACCCCAGGCTCCAGGTGGAGAAAAGTATAATTAAATAAAATGAAGGTCCTGGTGATGGTTTCTTGAAAGTGAATTTGCTCGAAATGAAATGAATAAGAAATCATATGGGAACACTGTAGAGTATTTAGATTGGTTTTATTTCCATGACTGTATGTAAAGTATTTATCCGGACCTCTGCATATATTGAAAGTTTGCTCATAATAGTAGCCCTGGTATACTGTATGTCAGGTAACC